TCTGGAGCATATACGTTGAAAGCACTAATAATTTTTAATCTAAGTTTTTCTTGTACATTCCATAGTAACTGTGTTCTTTTAGGAGGTACTGGTGGTGGAGCTGGACGTGAGTTAGGCACAATTACATGAGCAAAATAGTCTTCTACGCCTAGGGTTTTTCTATGAACTAGTAACAACTCTGGATGGGCTCCTTTCTTGGCTATTGTACGTCTAATGGACTGCAAAAAAAATTGACCAATTACTGTAAAACCATTTATTTTCACAGGCCTTTAATTTTCACTATTTTGATCATATTCACTGGGTTTTAAAGTTTAAATTTTGCAAGAGCAAACATTAGTTCCATTGTCATTTCACATTTTCATGTGGTTTTAATTTACCATATTTTTACTAATCAGCAAAAATAGAAAAATTAAAACCCTGTGAATAATTAATGCAGTCACAGTATTAACTTAAACAGTGCAAAGATCAGACTACTATCATTTGAGTTTTGCTGTCAAACTACTGAGAACTAAAAAATGTTCTGATTTTGATGATGTCATGATAATAAAGCAGCATAAATTGATTACCAGTACTGTATTAACAGCATATTGTTTTAATTAAATGTCATGTGTGTGTGCACATTCAAAATAATCATGTTTTATCAATAAAGATCGATCATACAGTAAAATATTCACTGTATAACATTGCATGTGCTTACATAAATGGTGTGTCCAGTATGCAATTTGTTGCTTTTGCTTCAGACATATCTAAACTAATGAAAATACAATACATGGCAAGTTTCACAAGGGTTTTGCGCTAGTATCTCGACAAGACCAGTCCCACTTACAAAATTTTAAGAAATCTTATGCTGAATAACTTTATTAGAGATTGGACCCCAGCATGCCTGAAAAACTGGGTCCCTCTTCAATAATTGGAGTCCGGGAAACAAAATATGGGGTTAACGCAATCCCTGTAATCATTAGGGACGCCTTTTAAGTGTGGTAGCATCTGATTTTTTTATTTTTCTTAGAAACAAACACTTTGGACTAATTGAACTGTATAACAAGATTAAAACATTCACATATAAATAAACCTCCATACATACAACGATGAGTCACTATTCTTAGTGCAAAACATCTTACACCTACATCATATATACGGTAAAATACTTATTTTCACTTGGAATTTATTTATGCCATTTTCGCTGAAGGGATGAGTCAGTGAAAATAAAGTGAATATACCCTTTTGTCTATATTTTACATGAAATTCCATACAAAAGACCCAAAAACGTGTTTCAGCAAAAATTAATTCCAGCTAAAATAAAGTATTTTACATATACATGTAATTCTTCTAGCAGGGGTTTACTAGAAAAAATAAACAAGAGGGAGCACACACAACCAATCGACCTGCAAACGCCATTTTAATGGTGTATTTATAATTTTAGTGTATTTGGTGTCCAGACACATTGTCAGCTGGTGTTGCTGGGAAGTTTTCACGGAGAAAAATGTCATGTTGTACGGCAGCACAGAAGTGCGCGGCTCTAGAAATATATTTATGACTTGAAAGTTCAATCGTCAATTCAATAAGAGGTCATCAGTCGAGTGTATCAGGGCGCTGCACCCCTGTTCCCCGGGTTTAGAAAAAACCCTGCTTCTACAACAAGTGGCTGTGCAATGTCTTGAATTCTTACCTTGTATTGACTTAACGGTGAATCACCTAATAAATATTCAGCTTTCCCACAAACTTTAAGTACGTAGTCTTGTGGATCTTCTTCCATTTCTAGTTTAAACATTATTTTCTTTTTCCGTAATGCTAATTTCACCAGCACCATTGGATACATGGTACATGTAATTTGGAACTTGGAATGTCGCACCTGAAAAGCAATTGTTTACCGGTTTATAGAAACACAAATTTATCAAATCTCCATGTTTATCCACAGATTAGCTCATATATATATATATATTTGGTTACATACATACGTACTAATATAGCACATCTCAGGCCATTTTGAAATGAATAATTGATACACTTTTTATTGCAATTTTGCATCAAAATACGAGAAATATGGCCATAGAGGGCAGACTGCTAACAGTTGAGCACCAATAGTACTGTACTGCAGTTGAAGTCAACAACCATAAATCACATTGTTGACATTCACCAAATCTATTATTACCAGGTGCTTTGGGCAAGATGCCCAGTACCGCAAAATGCTGGGCTTCATTCACTGATAGATGAATGTGTTAAAATGGTCTTTATAAGACAGGTGGTTTTTACATGGTTGGATTATTTTTGTTGGATCATCAACTCACACACAACATTTGTCGAGAAAATAGGGAGATGGTATGTTGCAGCTAGAGCATGTTATTTGAGTTGATTAAAAACAATTAAGTTTGACTTTAAAATTAAAAATTGTTTATAAACAGAATTCAAATTATTATTTTGGTCTCGCCAAACAAAGACAAATCTGTAAAATATTGCTAAAAGGGTGTTCATATAACACAGGTGGTCTTTATACACAGGTTATGCCATAGGACTGCCTAAAAGTGGTGACTATAAGCAGGTGGTCTTTATATT